AAGGGGGAAATTTGAGTTCGCTGTTAGTGATGGAGCCTGGATTTCACAGAGGCTATGATGAAACGCAGTGTTGGGACATACAAAATCTCTGTAGCCTGATGGAAGAACTCTGTCCTTATAATAATAATAATTTTCCTTTGAAAAATTCTCTTATTTTAAAGGACATGAGGAATTTTAAGCTTTTAAGATAGCGGCAATGAGATTGAAGCTGAAGATGTATGTGATGTGTCTGAAGGACAGAGGGGTCCTTTGAGCAGATTGAGTACATCTCAAATGAATTTTTATTGATGTGTTTGTGTGTTCTGTTGCCTGCTCTTCAAAACACTATGTATATTTTAAAATCTATATAGATATATGCACCTATGTGTGATTTTTAAGCAATAACAGTGTCTTTAGGAGTGTTTTTAAGCAATAAGAATAAACCTTTCTGCAGGCATCTGACAGTGGGATAATGAGGAAAGATCCTTGCAACTATCCTGAACAGAAAGAAATATGTGATTTAAAAACCAGTGGTTTCTTCATGCTTGGTCAAGAAATGTGGAATTTGGCATTACTCCACTGAGAGGATAGGCAGGTAGTGATGTGATGAAAGTCTGCTAGAAAGCACTGAAAGTAAATTCTAGGTCTGGTCCTTCTGTTGTTTCTCAACACAAGAGATCACAGAGCCCTCAACACCAGACAAGGAACAAACCTACCTACAGTGTCCCAGCAGGGATCGCATGCTCAGACTGACTGCAGATTGCAAATGGGCTCTGCAGGGCTGCTTTGCAGCTGGTGCCCCATGTTGTGTGCTAGGAATGTGTCAAGTTGACCTTAAGTCAACTTGTTAAGAAATTCCTCAAAGTCTTTAAATACTATTGGCACCAGCAGTTAATGCAGAAACCTTCCAGAACTGAGAAAATATCTACTTCTCAGAACTGCATTCTCTAGCAATATGGTTGTACTGGCAATATGTTGAGATTCCAGCTTCCCAGGACAGCTTATGCTCTGCACATGAACAGAACAATTCCTAGAGACTCATGAAAGCCAGGCTAGAAATGACTGACAGTCACCCATCTCTAGCCCATCTCTATAGCTCTTCTGGTTTAAATGGTAATTTGCAGAGATGCAAAATCTCAGGCCTGGGCAACAAGAGCTGGCAATTAAGTTGGATGCCTTTTAGATCAGATGCATGACATGGAGTCAGCTTGTGTCACTACGGTCAAAAGCAAAAGCCCTCCCTGAAAGCAGCCTCAGTATGTATCAGGAGAAGTGCTGGAAAGGGGTCAGAGCAGCTGTTACTCTGCTCATCACAATGGGATAACTGCTCTCTGGAACTGAGCCTGCAATAAGTTTGGATCAGATGGAGAAAAACATCTGCCTGTGGAGGAACACCACATTTCTGCAGAACTCAGATCGTCAATGCAATACACATCCCAAGAGTTGCTCACCTGCTACTCATTTGGATCCATTTCAGCGGAACCAGCTATTGCTGACTGCTTGAGAGGGACAAAGCATGCTGATTAAACTCTTGATTTTCTGTGCAAGGTTTTGCAATGACCAGTTTGTATGACTGTAAAAATGCAAGTTATCACAACAGAAAGCTAAGCAAAGCAAGACAAAAATCTTCTGAATACAACTGAGTTCTGTCATATTGTTTTTCCTAAAAGGTGAACTCCACTGCAGCACTATTACACATTTTAATCTAAAAATGATTTTTATATGTCCTAGGAACCACGTCTGAGTGTTCACACCAATATGCCCTGCCACCCATAACACAGCACCAAGCAGTGTGCAGACACTGACTTCAGCAAGACCAGGCTTTAGCCTCACAGACAGCTGTCCACCACAAGACCTGTTTTATTGAAGAACAGCATTGAGAAGAACAATATTAACACAGAGAGATAACAAAGTAAGGATAAAAAGAAGCTCTTATCTCCAGGCCATGCCTTGGGATCACCCAAAATTGTGGTATCCTGAAGCCAAACTCAGACTCAGGACAAGCAGCAGCTTTCTCTGAAAAGCAGTGCAATTATTGGTGCCTGTTCCAAGATCAGGCCATATGAGTTCCAGCATCCATCAGAAGAGACCAGATGAGCTGAATGAAAATAAAGCCTCAGTAATTCTCTGGCCTGACCAGGCTATCTGCATAAAAAGCCTGGGGCTGCTGTCATGCTGTCTTTGATCAAATGACGCAGTGGATTTTTCCTGGCAAAATAAGAGTGGATGAAAAAAGCTCACTTTATTGAAAAAAAAAAAGAAAGAAAGAGAGAAAGAAAAAAAAAGAAACCATTTTTAAATGGCCAAATTTATATTTTTTTAAATTGCCATACTCATCAATGTCCATTTCATTCCCTGCTTAGCTAGCAGAAGGGAATGGAAAAAAAAAATCATAGAGAAAGAGATGTGAGAGGCAGTACAGGCTCTTATAAAAACCCTATAGTAGATTATGATGGACTGACTGGGACATGCTGCCAACAGTCACATTCTGCTGCGAAACCTTCAGTCAGTTAATCTGATGAAGGAAAGACATTGCCTGGAAATATCTTGTTTTAAATGTTCATTTTTATGCCTCTTCCTACACCATGGGAAAATTTCACTGCCATTAAACTTTTTCTTAATAAAAAAACTCTCCAGGTTTTAGGGTAGGAATGGAATAAAGCACATGCCTTAGATCTGCGTATCTCAAGTTATGTATTTACCATTTGTCACTGGAGTTTGCTGCCTTGCCTTCTTAAAACCCTTATAACTTTCGGCAGGGAACATCTAATCCTAGACAAAATGGAAAAACTTGACCTCTTCCTATATATATTTGCAGAACTGTACAAATCTAGGTTCCCAGCAGGCTGGCGCTGCGCTGCCTTACGCAAGGCAGAAGATTGCTCACAGCCTGGTCAGAGGCAGCACTCAGGACCCAACAGCCTGCTCTCCCCAGGCGGTCTGACCTTGGGGATGCGGGGCACCCATGGGCAGATGTTGAGACCTTCACCTCTGTCCCTAGGGAGCAGAGAGCAATGAAAAACCCTGCTCCTCGCCTGGCACTTCGGCAGCAGTTCAGCTGTTGACTCCAGGACGCTATGGAATCAGATCTTCCAGTGCCATCAAAATGCTGCTTCTGTACATTGCAGAATAAGGTCCCGTGGTGGCTGAGCCTGCAGGAGACCTGTCTGACAATGGCAGAGTGCTTTATGAGGACATGAGAGCTGAATGGTTCAGGTAGAGGTCTGTTCCTGTGAAATTCCTTTGCTCGGCAGATGACACTTGGATAGTACAGGGTACCAGGGCTGATTTATTCCCACAGTACTGTAACCATCTATGAAAAGGCTTTACTTGACTCAGACTAGCCAGCATTGTTTCTTAATTTCTCCTAATAGCATCCAGATGTCCCACCAACACCTGTCTTCAGCATGAACATCCCTTTTGGTCTGACAGAAAGAAACCCTTCCCAAACCCAGATCTCTTCAGAGACTGCTAGTCTGTGACAACCAGACATATGTTTCCAAACAAGTAAATGAGAGGATGCATAAAGTTGCCCTTCACTTTCCAAACTCTTTCATGGTAAGCAAAGCTGACAAACACCTTCTTTCAGAGAGAAACTCCTCGCCACTTTCTGCACAATGTCTCAGAGTGTGAGAAGACAAAGGCTGCTTTTCTTCCTTCCTACGTGGATAATTCAGGTGTTGGGTGTTGTTTTTTTTTTTTGCCTGATGCAAGTTACAGTGGACTGAAAATTGCTGAAATGAGAGCACTGTAAGGAATGCTATCACAGAGGAACTTTTTGCAGTGGTTATGAATTATAGGAGCCAGGAACCAACAGCTGCTTGCAAATGACTCCATACTTTAGTAACCCTTTGACTAGAGGCTCAGCCCTTGGAGCAGTGTTCAGCATACACATCACACCATGTCACATCTGTGATATCTACATGGCTGCTGATAAAATTTCATACACTACATGGAACATGCAATCTTCTGTGGGAGAGGACAGAATTTGCATTTCTGTATGTAAGCCATGGGTTTTGAATGGTTAGTTCTATTACCCTGTATTTCTCTTGCTATGTATCCATACGTAGTGAACAAAAACATCTGTCAGCCAGGTCCTCAGATTCCTCCACCCCTGCATGAACTGTGATCATTCATCAGCCATGGCATGGTAGAAAAGGCACATAAAAAATGACATTTTCTGAACAGTAAGATCCAGCACTGAGCAAAACCCATGTAAGCCTATTCCCTAAGAGTTACTGAAATATATTTTTAAGATCTCGACTCCACTGACATCTGCTCCTATTCCCTGCAAGAACTGTGCCACGATAACACTGCAATCCCCTTGTCAAGTATGCCTACGAAACCCAAAAGTGTTAGAAACATTCTCATGAACTCAGTATCAGTAAGGACTGGAGTTAAACCTGTACCTTTCATGCAATGGTTAATGCATTATCCGTCCGAAAACTCCCCTGGGCCTGTGTGGCTCCTGAAGTCTTTCAGAAGAGCCACACAGCACATCAGTTTCTTGAAACAGGAAAATAAAATCCTGCCAGGAAGAAGAAGAAGCACACTGCTTCCATACTTCCCAACATCAGCCAGCGGTCAGAGGGCATGCTGGCATCTCTCCATCCCTCCCCACACAAAGCAACACCGCTGCTGAGACCTCTTCAGGCCCCCATCCTTCCTACAGACACTCGAGAATCCTGGCTCAGCTCCCGATCCCTACTGACCTCCTGCTCTGTGTCTGCGGGTCTGCGTACAACGAGTGGCAGGAAAACTAAAGGAAGGAAAGGGCAGAAACTGAAATACATTTTTTTTTTTTTCCAAAATGAAAAATTGAATTCTTTAACCTTTAAACATGCTCATTTACTTACAGAAAGTATTTCAGGCACAAAAGGTTTGAGTATCAGTCACATAGCAGGTTAAATTGTAATAGTATCAGGATTGTCCCATGCAGTGCAGTCAGCTATATTATCCCCTATCAAGAAGTTGTTGTGGTTTTTGTATAAATACATACATATACATAAAGTATGCACTGTTCACACTATGGTCTCCTGGTCCGAGGCGACTCCAGTAGGGTTTACGTAACAACAGTATTTGTCGTAAGGGCTGTTCTCCTTGTAGGAGCAGACAATGATACTGTCTTTGGGAACAACAAAAATGTTGTCTTCGACGTCTGGGCAAGCAGCGTTGTCCCTGCTGGGAGAAGAGCTCTTCTCTAAGGCACTGTACGTGGAGCCATCTCCTACAAACACATTCCCCGGCATCTCCGGGTAGCAGGTATCCAGGTACCTCAGCATCTTCTCCTGGTCCACCTTTCTGATGAGGATCTTGCACTCTCCTGTGGTGGCTGAGGTGGTGGTGGTGCAGATGGACACCGAGTCCTCACCCCGCAATACTCTCCGGTCCTTCTGGTACACCTTCTTGGCCAATTCGTCACAGCTTCCCTTGCCAGATTCCAGATCTGAAGGAGTTCTCAGCAGCTCCATCACGTCCCGGTCCCTGCTCTCCTTACAGCATGGACGCTTGTTCTTGGGCCACTTGGTGCAGCCATCAGTCTTTCTGGTGAGGGCGATGGCGGCAATGCCTGGCAGGCAGATGGCCGGCCCGATGGCCAGCAGTGGGATGTCTCCCAAAGTCTCCCCCTTGATGCCGGACACGGTGAACATGAAGCCAAACACCAGGAAGACGCTGACCAGAGCCACCACCAGCCCTGTCCGAGGGTTGATGTCGTCGGGTCTCATGGTACGCGCCATGCCGACGGTGCGCGCTGACCGCTGCGGTCCCTCCTCAGCTGCGGGTGAAGCTTCCCGGCGGCGAGGCACCGACGGTCGGCACCGCTCGGCTCCCCACCGGCTTCCGCGGAGGACGGCGGGGCTGGGAGCCTGCTGCCTGACTCTTGCCGCTCCCGAGCCGCTCAGCGCCGCGCTCAGCCGGCCACTCGCTTATGGCAAGGCGCAGCCCCCCCGCCCGCAGCCCCGCCGCTCCCTCCCACGTGTGACGGCGAGCACGCGTGGGCCCGGCCCCGCAGCCTGCGCGAAGAGGGGGGTGGCTCAGGGCTTGAGAAAACGCGAGGAGGGGGAAGGAGGACTCTGGCTGCAAGGGACACCTGCTCTTCCTCCTCCTTTTCTTCCTCCTCCTCCTCCCAGCCGTGAGTACACGCACCGCCCACGGGGGCCGCCGCCGGGTCCGGGGGCTGGCTTTCGGAAGGTTGGGTTTGGGGGTGATGACGGCAGCCGCGGTTCCGTTGGAAGCTGCCGGGAGTGGGGCTGCAGAGCCCCGTCAGTCCGCTCCCCCGACGGGCAGCGCGGCCCGGGGCTGTGACTTTCTCCAGCGGACAGATCAGCGCCGAGCCCGGGGAGCACAGCCTTGGGAGACGCTGCAAAGCCGCTGGAGCGTGACCTTATGCAGAGCCTCTCTCGTGGTCCCCCCCTCCGCTGTATCCCTCCGGCTGTCGGGATGTGCCCTGGGATCCCGTGGTGCTTGCGCTAAGTTGGCTTTGCTGGGGCTGCTCAGTGTTGGGCGGTGGTAGCTCCTAGCATCGGGCTGAATGCAGGAGGGGGTCTGAAACATGTGGGAATGTGACAGGAAGGAGGAGCCCACGAGCAGGATGCTTCAGCACCGACTGCCAGAGGCATCAGGAGTAATGCTTTCACCTGGAGCAGAGGTGCTGGGAGATAAAAAAAGTCACAGTCTGAGACTGAGAAAGGACACTTAGAACTCAGTTATCACAATAACATGACTCCTCTTTGTCAAATTACTGTTGAGACCAGGAATATGGAAAAATCAATAACATAAACGCTCATCTTCCAGCCACATAAACGTCTGATTTTTATTCAACGTTCCTACCCTATACAAAGTGGCCCTATACTGCACATTTTCACACACATAAGTCCCCTCCTTAAAGGACACAATTTCTGCCTCACTGGACTCTTCCCTCGTGAGCTAGGTGACAGGTGATAGCCTTCCGTGCCTTAATTTGAAGGGAGGGAGCAGGAAGGAAGCATCCTGGGGACAGCTGTTTGAACTGGTGGTGGTGATTCCATTTTAAGATGGAAATTTCGCAAAGGACTATTATCATAATTTGAACAAAGCTATCCTGTAAAACTCACTTAGAGCTCTGGCCTGTTCTTGGATGGGCACAGAGAGAAGCAATTTGGTCTCTTAGAAGCAAATCAAAATCTTCCAGCTGGGTTTCAGCACAAGTTAACTTCTGTTACTGAGCGGGATTTAGCAGGGTGAGCAATGATCAGAGCTTTTTGGCTTGCACTTTCTGCAGTGAGAATCTGCTGCTTATTTCCATCTGCTGTTATTTAAATACATAGGATTTATGTCCTCGCATCAGAATGAATAATGCCTTTCCTACCCCTCTGCTAAACTTGGGTAAAGATTAACCAGATATGGAGCTACAAATCAGTGAAGGCCCAGCAGGATTGTATTGGTAACACCATGGGATGCACTGCTCTCCTCTCCCCAACCTTTCCTCACCTCCTCTTGCACATCTGCACAGTCCTTAAGAGTTCTTATTTGGAAATTGGTTGTGTGCAGAAAAAGAAAACATGTTCTTTAGGAATAGCCTTCATCAGGGTCCACGAGAGGGAGGAAAACTGCCTCAGAAGATGACACAAAAATGTAAATGTCATTAGTGGCATCAGCGGAGGGGAAAATATATTGTAAGTACTGCAGAACATGTCAGAAGACCTAACAGGAATAAAAATGGCTCTTCGGATTTAAGTGACAGGGTTATTGAGACGGAAGAGAGAACATCTACTTTGGAAGGGGAAGATGTTAGCAGGCAGGAAAATACTTACAAAAGCTGTCAGGACAAAGGTGGAACTGAGTGCTTCCAATTTGTCCTTTTGTGAATGGTTTCCAGGACCAGCAGTGTGAAGATTGCATGCTTTGTGGCAGAGGTAGTAAACCAGCCACCCTGCTCCAGGAAAACACGATACAATTCTCAATGTTGTCTTTCCAAACCAGAAATCAAGAGGTCATCAAGTTTCCATACAGGTAAGCAGAAATGGTAATGGCTGAATTTTCTCTCCTGTTCAAAACTAGAGAAAGAAAAAGCTGACTTCTGTGAGGTGAGGCACATTTCCGATGGGCTCTTTGTGCAAAAGGTCTGGATCAGCTAGCGGAGTGACTGAAAATTCCAAGTGCTGTTTCAGATCAATTGAACAGCTGATGGTGGTGATTAACCATCTTTCAGTGCCAGTAACTTTGAGCATTCATTCAAAGCAGAAGTAAAGCTGATACTGGGGAAATTAGTGTTCTTACCCTACCTTCTGATTTTTCAGCTTTTTAGGGATGGGTCAAATTGGGATAATCTCTCTGGAAGAGAGAAATGTGGGCTTTGGTGAACACATTCCTCACCAGGACAGGCAGAATGCAACTTCTGGGCATGGGGCACCATGTTTGTACTTCAAATCTCAACAAAGTTATTAAATGGGAAGCTGATGTGTTCCAGGGACACTAATTTCAGCTTGCTCAGCAAGCACTTCCACATCAACTTATTTAGATTCAAAATCTTTTTCCTGTTCTACTAATAATTTAGTGTAACTGCCAATCAGGCAGTGTGCTTCTCATTCTCTCCCTGTTTTCTATTCAAAGTAATGGTCAGCATTTGGTAAATATCTAAACATTGTGCATACTAAAAGCTTCTACAGAGGTCTCACCTTTCCCAGCTCCTCATGGCCATGGTGTGGAAGCTGGATCAGAGGGCTGGAGCACTTCTCCTATAAGGAAAGGTTGAGGGAACTGAGGGAACTTGTTTAGCTTGGAAAAAAGAAAGCTCCAGGGAGACCTCATTGTGGCCTTCCAATACTTGAAGGGAGCACATTGAACAGGAGGGGGAACAGCTGTTCACGAGGGTGGATCATGATAGGACAAGGGGGAATGGTTTTAAACTGAGATAGGGGAGGTTTAGGTTAGATATTAGGAGGAAGTTTTTCACCCAGAGGATGATGACACACTGGCACAGGTTGCCCAAGGAGGCTGTGGATGCCCCATCCCTGCAGGCATTCAAGGCCAGGCTGGATGTGGCTCTGGGCAGCCTGGTCTGCTGGTTGGCAACCCTGCACACAGCAGCGGGGTTGAAATGAGATGAGCACTGTGGTCCTTTTCAATCCAGGCCATCCTATGATTCTATGAAAATCAAGAGCTAATTCAAAGTGCACTAGCCATTGTAGTTTTAGTCATATTAAATGTATTGTTTAGCCTGAAATGCACAATCTCCTTTTTTATCTTCTTGATCCATCACATGTAAAACATGAATTGCAATAGTGAAATGAAAGTTTAATGAATAAAACACTGCTGAGCATGTGCTGGGAAGCTGGACTTTTAGCGCACTAAAGACCTGGGGGTTTTCAGCAGCCCTGACTTCATGCTGTGCTGTGAACCTTGATACAGTCCTGCACATTGATGCAGGTGAAACTCATCCTTCTGAATGCCTGTGCCTTCAGACTGTGGTGATCCCAACTTCTCTAACATCCCAGACATGCCACACTGAGTCTCTAGAAGAGTTGCTAGTAACATCACAGGTAAAATGAACCTTCCAAGTTCTATGGCTCTGCTAAAACTTGGCACAACTTGATAACCACTTCTGAGTGTGGGATCATGTAAGTCCTAGCTTAACTTGAACATGAAACATATGATTTGCTTTGCTGACAAGTTCTTTGAGGTCTGGGATGCTCAAGTTTCAAGCTTTTGAGTTGATGCTGTGTGCACATACTTGAGCCACTCCATTAGCTTGAGTATGCTACTGTCATTCAGCTGAGGTCAGTGGCACTTCAGGCCCTTTCAGTCTGTTATCCATTGTAAGTACTCAGTTCTGGAGAGGGATACTGAATGCCATGTGCACCTCCAGGCCTTCTTGAATGTTGTGTTTTCTCAGCCTCATCAACAAAATACTTGCTAATTTTTCTTTGCTGTGCAGAAGTGTTTTGAGGTCCTTATGTCCATTAATTCATAGCTTGTTTTTTCTTAATTTGTGAGTCGCACAGTTCCCCATACCAACATTCCCTTATTGTATTGCTCGGAGAACCTCTAGCAGAACCTCTCAGCTCTTGCATTCCTCCTGTGCTATTTCAAAGCTGCATTCAGTTCCCTTTGTATCACAGAATGAATCTCTTTGAATCACAGAATGGCTTGGGTTGGAAGGGACCTGAATGCCCACCCAGCTCCCACCATCGGTGGTAGACAGGGTTGCTCCCCACCAGATCAGGCTGCCCAGGGCCCCATCCTAACAGGCCTTGAGCACCTCCGGGGATGGGGCATCCACGTTCTGTCCTCATGTCCTCTGTTACAAGGAGCTCAACTGAGTAAAGATTTACTTAGGTGTTCATTAATGCTTCTGGAACACATTTTTTTTAAGGCAGTTGTTTGTGCTTGATTGCTAATTGCTGTCCAATTGACTGCAGGTCAGATGTGGTAAGACTCTGGCAAGTGGCAAAAGGCATCTAGCAGATGCTTGAAGGGCTTGTGCTTTTACTGAGAGCCATCACACCAGGAACTCAAAAATCCTGCCCTCGAGTCATTCATCAGTCAAGAGGCAACCTCAGGAACTTCAGTGGGGCTCTGGCAAAAGTATGGGCTGTTGTATGACTCACAGTGTCAGGCGGTACATTTTCACCATAGGAGCAAAACCCTGCCTACGTAATTCAGTGGAAATTACGCTTAGCTGTATAATTCTTCCTGGTACGCTTTTTCCTTTTAACATATTTCTGATTAAATACCTGTATTTCTGCTGTCTAAAACT